ATAAAGGACATATGGGATAAAGATACCAAAGATTGGATAGATCCATCAGAGTTATGTTCTTCATTGTATGCATTCACCTTGGAAGGGATGGGTTATAAATAGTATCTTAAGGATAAAGGACATATGGGATAAAGATACCAAAGATTGGATTGATCCATCTAAACTTAGGAGGCAACTAAGGTACTGTCATCACCCGATGGAAGCTCTGGAAAAGGTAGTTCAACTCATTCCAGTCGAATGGATTCGTATTCTTAGGGGAGGCCCCAAATTTGTAACAAATGACTGGGTTGCTCTCAAGGGCCAACCCCAGAAAATTGGCATAATTCTAGACCACGATCCAAATGGGGGTTTTCTTTTTAAAAAAAATTCTTTATCTTCTACTAATATCGCAGTATCAATTGATCAAGAAGAAAAAAGATGGGTCAAGGCTGAACAAATTTTCAGGATAAGAGTGATCAGGAGCAAGGACTCCTGGGTAGCCTTCAAGCCGGATTGTCCCATCTCGGAACTCCCTTTTGACCCGGCTAATTGGGTATGGTGTTCGGAAACAATAAAAGGAAGACAAAAAAGATCTTTTAAGAGGAATATTCACTCTCTTAAAGTTAAATCAGCTTACCGTATGCTGCGACCCAGAATCAAGCTAAAAGATAGGGTATCTACCAGGTGGATGAAACATCTTAATATAAGTAAGGAGGAGCTGAGGTTGGTCCACTCGTTCAAAACAGTCAAAGACAAGCCAGCAAAAATAACTTCCCTCCAATGGCAAATTGAACATAGGTGTCTTCCAACAAATGACTGGCTTATCGACAGATCCTCCTTAGAACAGAAAGGATTATCAGCAAGATGGTGCAAACTCTGTAAATCTGCTTTCCCAAGCAGAAAAATTCCAGAAACCATAGAGCATATCTTTATGCAGTGTCTGGGCTCAATCTGGCTCTGGAGATGGTGGGACCGTATCTGGTCACAAATACTCCCATAGGTCAAATGGCCATGGGGATGGAAGGTTATCCTTCTAGAGACTTGGAGCCCGGATACAGAAATGGGAGAAAATAATGAAGAATTTGTTGAAAATCTATTCCGGATAGGGAGAAGAGCGGTAATGTGGGCTATCTGGATGAGGAGGTATACTTATGAATGGGAAGGGGCTAGACTGGATGGCCCAGACTTCACAGAGACAATTAAACAGCAAATTCAAACAGATATTTTGACGAAGTGGGACCAAATAAAAGAAAAAGTGCAATTTATCTCAGATAAAACCGAAATTCAGAATCATTTTTAAAAATTCACAAGTAAGTGGCTGGGCGGAAACCAGGGAAGGAGAATAGGGAGAGTTTTTTGGAATGGGGCAATGGATGATGATAATGCTGGGCTCAAAAGGGACTACAAATTAATTTTTGATGATTGGACCACCATTGAGGCTTCAGTATCTATGCGACCCTTATCAGACTTCCCTGACCCCTTCCCCCCCCCTGCATCTGCTCTTGTTCCAAGCTCTTGGTATGGTTTATAAGGGCTAACATTTCTAGTTACATCTACTCGAGTCATCACTATTAGCAAGATCACTTTTCCAAACCAGTACCAGGTTTAAGTTGGAAATCTGGTGCCACTCAGATGAGGGTGAAGAGGTACAAGGGACGCTGGGCCCGTTTCCCAGCATCATCCGTTTCTTGCTCCTTATTTATATATCAAGGGACGCTGGACCCGCTTTCTAGCAGGTGCAACTCCCCACCAATAGATTGGAGTCCCTAGTGGTATTGCTGTCTCTTATACACATCTAGATGTGTATAAGAGACAGATATCATATAAAAAAAAAGGGACGCTGAGCCTGGTTCACAGCAAGTTCGGTTCGGTCACTCCGGGTAGACTGTGAGGACCCCGGCCTCAATCTTCTTATTTGTAATATCAGCCCTGGGCACTAGGCCGTTACAAAAAAAAAAAATAAAAAAAATATAGATATATATATATATTCGTGCATTTGTGATCCCTGCTTGTACATGACTACTTGGACATCTGTGTGGTTTCGCAACTTGGCTTTTTGTATGTCATTCTCACCGATATTCATTGCATTATTATTATTATTATTATTATTATTATTATTATTATTATTATTATTATTATTATTATTAAGTTACTACTATTATGGTACTTATGGTCACAACAAGCCTCATGCCCGCCCTAAGTGAAGGCGGGCCTGAATGTCCACGTGAGGCCTGTTCCCTACAGTTTTTCCATATGTGGGTACTAAGACAGTTGTAGCACGCCAATTGGTTACAGAGCAACGTGAGTCTCCAGGCTCTTTCCAAAAGCAAAAGGGGCTGCGTTGTACAGTTGAGCCCTGGGCACACGCAGTGTGGGGCCGACATATAAAGAAGTGGCAACAGGCCGATGAAATGGAGCAATGTCGTCACACAGGTCCCGCGGGTCAATGTGAAACACAACAAGCATGCAAGACTTGGATAATTCGGTGTTCCCAACTGTAAAGGGCCCGGGTCCTCAACCGTAGACATGGGCCTGGGCGCAAACACTGGGGCCCAACCAGAAGCTACTGAAAACTTCCATGGCCACGCCCGGACAGTCAAGCAGCGGCAGCGTCTCCGGAGGAGGCCAGCAAGTCCAGGCCATTCTAGCCTAGACAGGCCATGCAGACACGCTGCTGCAGATCCGCACAAGTGTCTGCATGCGCTACTGCAAGATGGGTTACGCGCGGGCACTGAGTAGTATGGGGCACAACAGGGCAGCTGGGCGCTAGCGCCTATAGCTGGGTTGCAGGACGTGAGGGGGTGATGAGCGGCGGTGTTCTTCATGAAGGAGGTGCGGTGTGAGTAAACAAGGGTGATGAGGGGAGTTGAGAGTACGTACTTGGTGTATGTGGGAGGATGATATTGGTGTTGACGTCATGAACATTGGCCTACGAAGGCAAATTGAGTCTGTTGCAAGAGCGTAGATAGGATAGGTAGGATAAATAGAGTAGATTGGGTGCCGGACAATAGAAGAGACATTGAATAGAGCGATGGCATGACTTGCGGGTTTGGACATTGGCTAACGAGGTCACTATATCGCTCTTATTTATATGGAACCTTGGTGCATTTCAACTCTCTATTTGTTACTTGACTATCTGGACTTCTGCATGATTATTGTAACCTTATTTTCCCGCTAACCTAGCTTTCCCGGGGCGCCTTGCCCGGGGGGGGGACCAGGCTCGGGGTACCCCGGGCATGCAAAAAAACCACAATTTTTTTTTTTTTTTTTTTTTCGACTTCGGTGCCTTCTTGCGCTTCTCGAGTAATGCCGATATCTGGCCTCGTTTCTAATTTCTATGCATGACATTGCATGTGTGTTTTGGGGGCAGGGGCGGGGAGAGGAGGGTGAGGAAGGCTATGGCGAGGACGCCGAGGAGGGAGGAGGGAGGCTATGGCGAGGAGGGAGGAGGGAGGCTAGGGCGAGGAGGGAGGAGGGAGGTTGTGGCGA